AAGGGATAGGGAAGCTTGTTAGGGAGGTGCTTGAATGATTAGGTACACAATGGTTTTGTAATACCTACATCCTGCATACGCCATGGGAAGAATGAAGTTATATCATGCATAGTGACCTGGATATACAATTTCTGGAAATGGTGGAATGTAATAAGCATGAAGTATGTACTTATGCAAGAGATTTGTGAAATAATTTTTATCATAATTTATCTTGCTTCAGATAAACAAGTAAAAGCCATACTGAATATGTTTTGAATTACAATGTATCATTTGGCATCAATGAATTAGAGCTACTGCCCGGACTCCAAAAAAAAAAAAAAAAAAAATTAAATTCATAGGGTCCATTTAACTTGGTCTTCTAAAGCAAGATCATATTATTAAGTTGGTAGTTGTTTAACTCCTGATGCTCTGAGAGGTTTAAGAATAAAAATAAAAGCCAAGAAAATGTTTTGGAAAAAAAGGGTCCAGAGGCACCCCAAAAAGATCAAGTCTTGATACTTGGAGGAAGGCTTCTACCATCGATATAGGTTTGATTCCTTTTGGTGGGGAGAAGTGCCAAGACCCTAGCCTGCATTTTTTTATTTTTTCCCACCCTTTCTGTACTGGCTTTTCTCGGGATTAGTGTCTAAGGTGAGAAGTGACATCACATCCATCCATCAAATCCATCTTGGAGGGACCCTGCTCTGGGATCAGGGGCAGAGTCTAGAAGGTGATAGACAGTTGGTGTCACCTTAAGCTTTGCTTTCAGGCTGAATCAGCTTGTCATTGCAGGATGTAAATGTCTACAGAAGAGGGCAAACTACGCCCAAGGAAATCCACTTCAAACAGGTCAAAGAAGCCTCCTGGAATCTGCCGGGTATTAGCATCCCATTAGCTACGTGTATTTCGCCATAAAGACAAAATTGAGCCCTGAGTTAACTCCCTGTCGTGGCTCCTGTGTGTCGTGGGTGACATTGTGTAATGGTGGTGGCGGAACACCTATGAAATTGGAGACATTAAGTCAAGTTTTCATTCTATTGAAAGTTATTTTATTAACCCTGGTTTGCCAGTCCTATCAAAGTCAATGCCAGGTTCATAGCACGCTATCACTTTTGGTCCTTGTGGCCATTCCTTTGTTTTATTTATATTATTCATGCATTGCAAACTTACTTTCCCATGATAGGATTGCTGTCTTCCAATTTAGTTTTATATTGGCCTCAGTTTTCTTCTTTATTAAATAAAGAAGTTAGATTCTCTGATATGTAGGTTCTCTTTCAGCTCTGATGCTCTATGAATGAGATTAAGGCCTGAAATGTGTTTGGCTCAGTGCCTGGCATATTACTAGTCCTTAATAAATGGTAGTTATTATTACCATTTATTATTATCATTAAATCTGACAAATTTTCACTGCCAACCCTGAATCTGATATACTAGAAAACGGATTAGAATCTCCATAAATTTGGTGACTCTTGTCCCAGGCAGCGAAATTCCCAGGGGCATTTCCCCCCCTTCTCACTCAGCTCCCAACTGTCCATTACCAATTTATTACTGATTCACAGAATCTCAGATTAGAAGAGCCCTTAAAGGTCAATTTCCAGCCCAAGGATGTAGCAGAGGAAGAAATGAGGTGTCTCATCAGGCAAGCCCTTTCTGGAATAATTCTCGTTCGTAGCGTTTCAGGATGAATCCTTACAGGGTTCTTGTTCACCTCTCCTACGGAACTGCCTGGATTTCTGTTCATCGCCTTTCACTGCAATTTTCCTTTAAAGCTGTGAGGGACCTTGGCAGAGAGGCCGAACGCTAGTGGGCCCTCATTATCAAGTAATATGTTGTTAAGTATAAGGCAGAGTTCAACTTAGAACTGCCTGATTTCCTGCCATATGGCACGCTCAGGAGGAAGAGTCGAGGGTCAGACTTGTGGAGCTACTCCTTGCATACAAAAAAATCTTAGATTTAGCTTCTTTGCCAACCTTAGGGATGGTTTTGCGCTAACCGGTTCTATTCTATTAGTTCCTTGTTCCTTTGGCTACTGAAGCATTGCGAGCAGAGCCGGCTGTGAGAACCAGTAGAGCCGAACGTCCTGAAAGATGATGGTTTTTTTTTTTTTTTTTTTTTTTTGCTGTAGCTCCTGATCCTTATCTGGAAGATTCTGGCTCTAATCAAGGAGGCTAATGAGTTCATGAAGGCAGATCCCAAAGCCTTGGCATGAATCGCAGCGGGGCTTCTTGGGTCTCGCTGAAGTCTAAGAATCACACTCTTTGTAAGTGAACTTAGCGAAGGGAGCTACAAAAGTGATGGAGAAGACGATGAATGAGTCTACGCTCAGGAGTTTGAGTTGACAGATGTATGGGGTCCCAGATCTTATTTATTTCTGGAACAGAGCTAGGATTTTCCCTTCCAAATACATACGCTTCCAAACGAAATATACCCTTTGAGCAAAGCTAAAATGCTGGCCCAGGGATCGGTTTACAAAGCAGAAAAGAGGTTTGCCTGTTTCCTACCTCATTTTCCAATTCTGTCGCACGTTCAACGCAGTGAATGCTGTGTGCGCGTGCCAAGCTGGGCATGAGTGTTCATTGGAAAGAAAAAGGGAAAGACACCACGGAGAAAAAAATAGCAAGGAGTAGTTTTGCTACTCTGAGGAAACAACCTCTAGGCCTCAGGAGACCAGGCTCAGGGATTCCTTCTTCATTTTATTCAAAAGTGGAAGCCTAGAGGCAACATGGCTTTCAAAGAGAAGCATTTTGTGCTGTCTTTGTGGTCCTAAACATGAATGGCACCAGAGTCCCTGAGAAAACCACAGGCCATGCTTCCGGCTTGACTCATGGTGTACCTTGTGAGGTCCTCACAGGGGCCACCCTCCTGGGGATCATCCCCAGATGGGCTCTCCCTATCCTCTGACAGCTAATGCCCCCAGTTCCAAAGGGAGGACTGACTGATGTACATTGAGATTTGGATTTTGATTGAGCTCTTCCCATCCCAGAGGCTTCTGGAAGAATCATCCAAAGCCTGGGGATGGATGCAGGTGGGCTGGGAGGCAATGAACAGTGATCTAATAGATTGTACACTCTCTGGATTACAGACTGGGAATGGAGGAAGTGGTGTGAGCAGAGGGACTGGCTGGTAGCAAGACCATATTGAAACCGGAAAGCCCAGGCATAGAACTTATGCTTTTCTGCCTATAAATAACAATGACAACAATAGTAATAAACCACATCTAGAGTTATTCAGAGCCTGAATTCTGCTAATCCTTTGTGCTCCCTTTCCTCTCCCTCCTCCCCTTTCTCCAAAGTCTAGCACAATGCCTGGCAAGTTCTAGGTGCTCAAGAGATGTGCCAAATCAGTCAAACAAACAGAATAAACTCTATGTCTTTCTGCAAAATGATTGAGCTTTTCTGACCTTCCACTTCATCGGTTAAGGAGCGGGGTAATGCTATTTGGTGAGTCTGGTTTCAGGATCTGATAACATGGGATTCCTTATGCAATGTGTAAATTGTCCTAAAGTGGTAATTAGTTACTAATTGATGAGTTACGAATTTCACTTTTTGAATTTGATGAACTAAATTTTATGAATTTGAGTTTGCTGGTATGGTTCAGCTGAAGGGAGAAGGGTAGAAAGTGAAGCCCTAGTCAGATAAAAGAATCATTACCCACAGCTAGAGATGGGGATTGGTTAATTAATCTCAGATACATTTAACCAGTGCTTAAGAAGAAAGATGTTTGGGGTACCTGGGTGGCTCAGTGGGTTAAGCCTCTGCTTTTGGCTCAGGTCATGATCCCAGGACCCTGGGATCGAGTCCCTTGTCAGGCTCTCTGCTCAGCAGGGAGCCTGCTTTCTCCACTCTCTGCCTGCCTCTCTGCCTACTTGTGAACTCTCTCTGTCAAATAAATAAGTAAAAAAAAAAAAAAAAAAAAAAAACTCTAAAAAAAAAAAAGATGGTGGGGTGGAAAAAGGAGGTGGGTGGGAGTTAGGGGTATGGTAAATACTTGAAGCCAGTTGAGCTATTTACATAAAGCATACATTTCCTTTTCATGAGAAATCATCCTGTGGTACCAAAAGAGGCAGGGAAGTTTTTCAGCAGAAACAGGGTTAATCCAAGCTCACTCCTGCCCACTTCAGTCACAGCGCTGGAGAGAGCCGTGGAGCCGATGCGGGCCCATATTTCATCTGAACTTCCTCTGTGGTCCTTTTTATATTGAAGTCTCTCACTGTTACAGGGCCGCGCTTGGAAAAGTTGGAAAACTTTTGCCTCGGTGGAGAAAAAGCCGCCCTCATCAGACTCAGTGGAACGAATGAATGAAGTTATTCCCTTGGCCCAACGTCTCCATCCGCTTTCATACCAAATATTCATAGAAACATCTTTGCTCAATTCCGGGACTGGAATTTTACTCTCCCGTGGCGTTGCCTCGTATCAGATGCACAGATTTCGAAAGTCAGCAGGCAACAGACTTGGCTTGGGAGGCACCGGGGTTGGCTTTCAAGAGTCGATGCGCCTTACGGTCCTGCGTGGTAGCTTCTCCCGGGAGCAGAGCGTGTAAAATAAACAGTTGCTGAAAAGCATGAAGAATTAACGAAGTGAAAAGCTCGGGTTATTTGTTCGGCAGTTGGCACGCAAGTGACCTTCCTAAATACTTCGTTGTTTAAGGAGGTTCAGAGCTAGGATGAATGAATCCTGGGGCGCTTGACTCGCACCAACGAGTAGATTTCCTAAGTCTTTCAGGAAGGGGCGGTAAACCGTTCAAATCCAAGGAGGAAAAAAGGAAGAGAACGGGGCAGAGCGGCGACACCGGGAGCTCTGCTCCCAGCCCTTCGGAAAGACTCGCTTTTGCAGCCCGGGACCCTTGGAGGTTCCAGCCCGGAGAACCCGGCGGCGCTAGGACCTGGTTGGTGCCTGGCTGCGGCCGCTCTCCGGCGGGCGGAGGAGGGAGAGGAGGAGGGGGCTGTGGGAGAGGAGGGGTGTTAGGGGGGCGGGGGGGAGTCATTTATGCAGAGCAGGCGCTGCTGCCATTGCCACTCACACTCCCCGCGCGCCGCTCGGAGCCGGAGGGAGCGCAGGGAGCGAGCTAGCGAGCGCTCGGAGCCCAGGCCAGCAGAGGGGGCGCCCGGCCGCTGTCTGCACCGCCGCCTCCGCCGCGCTCCGGGGCCCGGGGAGGAGCGAGGGAGAGTCCGGAGCCCAGCCGGCGAGACCTAACTGCGGGAGGGCGCCCGCCCGCCCCACTCCGCCGCCTCCTGCGCGCGAGCCGGAGAGCCCCCGCCGATCGCCCCGCGGGCCGGAGGGCAGGGAGCACAGGTCCCCGCAGCCCCAGGGATGGTCTAGGAGCCGGCGCGAGGCTCGCCGTCTGCTCCCAGCCGGGGCTCGCCGCCTGCTGCGGATCGGCCAGGGGCTGCCGGGGTCTGCGCGCCGGGCCGGCCCAGGCCGGAGAAGTTAGTTGTGCGCGCCGCTCTCCAGCGCGGAGTCCGCGAGCGAGCGAGGGAGGCGGAGAGGCGCCGCGGCCATGGGCTGGGGGAGCCGCTGGGGCTGCCCCGGACGCCTGGACCTGCTGTGCGTGCTGGCGCTGCTCGGCGGCTGTCTGCTCCCGGTTTGCCGGACGCGAGTCTACACCAACCACTGGGCAGTCAAAATCGCCGGCGGCTTCGCGGAGGCCAACCGCATCGCCAGCAAGTACGGATTCATCAACATAGGACAGGTAACGGCAGGCTGGCCCGGTCCTCGGCCCTGAAGCTGCCGCGGCTGGGGGGAGGCCCCGGCAACCTCGCGCTTCTTGCCCCCTCCTTGTCAACCCCCTTCCCCCTCTTCCAGATGTGCTCTTGCAGCTGTTGCCCTAACTCCTGCGCGATTTTTTTTTTCTCTCTTTCTCTCTCTCTCTCTCTCTCTTACACACACACACGCACACACTCCCCCAAAGTTACCAGGGGTGGTTTTGTTTACTTGTTGGTTTTTTTGTTTGTTTTTGGTTTTGGTTTTGGTTTTGGTTTTTTTGCAAGCCACAAGGGACAGGTAGGGTTTCTGGAAAACTCCGGAGTATGCATTCCCTGGTGGTGGTTTCAGACCCGACCGGATCTTTTGGGCTGCGAAGTCGGGGAGCACTGGTAGCCTGAGCTCTTTCGGGGGCTAGGGGGGGTGAGCGCGCTCCTTGCGGTTCCTGAGAGCCAGGGTGAGGAGAAGGCGAGGAAGGGAAAGCCTTTTCTGCTCAGACCTGAATTTAGCCCAGAAAGTAGTTTGCTGCTCTTGGGGAAGAGAACCTCTGGGCTCCGGAGGCGCGGGAGGAGCGGGGACTGGAGCAGGGAGGCGGAGGGAGGGGAAGAGAGGGCCGGACCCGGCGTGAGCGCAGATCTGGGGAGAGACCTCCCGGCTTCCTTGTCTCTCTCAGGGGATCCGCGTGGGGAGCTCTCGGATCCGGGTCGAAAAAGGAGGTGAGACACTTCCAAGGCCCGCTGACTGGGTTCTGCTCTAGGGGAACTGCAAGCCTCCCCGCGGACAGGAACGTGCGGGGCCCAGAGGTGGCGCGGTGGGGCGAGAATTGGACCCGCCGCAGGGCGCGGGGTTTTTGCGGGGTGCCGCTCCCGGGCTTTCGGCAGGGCTGCCCGGCTGGGGAACAGTGAATTAAATGGGATTATGAGTATGATTGGAAGAGGAACAGATTTGGAGGTCCTTCTGAGCTAAACGGTGTTGGCTTCCCCGCTCTGCTTCCTGCAAGAAATGGGAGTGGAGAGGGCTGCGTACCCGGGTCCCAGAAAGTGACCCGATCATCCCTCACCAGCTCCTTACCCACACCCCTTAAACTCATTTCTCTAGGCTTGGCTGGAGGACGGGGCTCTGGCCAGACCTTGGCCTGACTCTGCCGGAGGTGGAACGCGAGGGTGATGGGGCACCTTCGCAGCCGACCGGCTCTGGAGACAGCTCCGGATGCACGTGCCCTGCGTGCTCTGCCAGGGCGAAGGGAGAGGAGGGTGCTGCTCGTGCCCCGGGGCCAAGAGGGCACAGACGGGTTCTGATGCCATCGCGCTCCTTGGCCAGGAACCAGAGACTTGGAGCACTGGGACCGTCGCTGCCTGGGGTATGCAGCACTGAGCCTGGAGGCAGGGCTGCCGTCACTACATCTGGAAGGAGATAGGGAGCGCTGGAAGGTTCAACGGAGCAGGAGCCAGAGGTTTGGGGCTTTGCAGGTCCAGAGGGAGGACGTGTTCCTGAGAAGCCAGTCCTGTGGAGGGCTGAAACCAGGGCAAGGGGCAAGGTCCTTATCTACCCCCACCACGCCCCCTACTCTCTCTCTCTCTCTCTCTCTCTCTCTCTCTCCTAGGTCTATATCTCACATACACGCCCTGAAGGAAGTAAAGGAAACCAGCCAGATTTTGTTGTCTGAGTGCCAGTCCTCTTCAGCAGAGTTCATCCTGATGGTGTGTTAGGATTCTCCTAGCTTCTTACTTCGTCAGAAGAAAATAGAGTCTCTTCCTCCTTTTATAGGAGCTTCAAGTTGGGTGCTGGGTTGTGCCCCTGGTCTGGAACTGGGAACCCTAACAATGAATGTGATCTCGTTTGTAATCTTTCTAGAGAAGCATCTCTCAGGTTCAACGAACAGGGAGCATCTCCCATATATGAGACATAATTAGAAAATAAGGTCTATACACTTTTTTGGTAATGGGCAAAATGAACATTTGGGGTGGCTGTTCCCCAACATCCAAGACCCTGGAGAAGTTGACCCGCACAGGATCACCCAGCTAGACAGTGGCAAAACCATGATTCAGACCTAGGACTCTCAGGCCCAGTCCTCCTCCTGCATGAATCCCCCTTTTAGGGTATCCTCCCCAACCCACAAGAGGAAGGAGGCACAAAGTAACAGCTCCAACCCGCTGAATTCTGATTCAGTGACTCAGTAGATGGGGAGCAAACATTCAGTTTTAATTCACAGACACTTAGTTCAAACAGACCTGTACTTGGTGACTCTAAGAAGCTTCGTGACCAGCAAGCGCAGAAGTACCTGTTTCTTGATGAACTCATTCAGTAGAACTTGGATATTGCAGAACCCGGCAGAGTGAGGGAGGAGGTTCTGTCCCTGAACCCACTTCGAACAAGCAGACACTGTAGGGTTCCGTAACTTCACCTGACTGTGTTTTCAGGGGGCCCGCTAATGAAGAGCTGCGGCTTTTTATCTAAAAAGGAACGCGAAGAAACTTTCCATGCAGATGACCCCAAACACTATTTATTGTGGTTTTTACAAGGCCAATGAAGAAATTTAGTGCTTTCAAAGGTTATGGAGGACCCTTGAACTGATGCCATAACCAGTATAAAAAGGTCAGCAAGTCTTACAGTGTAAAGCATTTGCTCTGTAGATCAAAGGGGAGTAACCCTATGCATAAATTGAGTTCACACCTGCTCTATCCATACACTGTTAGGGCCAAACTAATATCTTATTCTTCCTTTACTGTTCTGACCTTTTAAACCCTTTAGACATCCTTTTGTTATTCTTTCCTTTCATCAGTAAACCCGTTGAGGTTCCATGGAGGGCAGTGACTTATTGGCGAATGTCTCTGGAATGTTCTCCTGGTTTTACCCATTTGGGCTTGGGGGTACCCACCTCATGAGTCACAAATTGCGACTGAGACCTCTTTTTGTGACCGATGTCATTCAGTATCTTGGCGGTGTAAATTAAAAGCTTTAGTGTAATCTTTCGGGGGATAAGGTAGTGAATTTTTGACCACCATAAAGGTACAGTTCTTACTACTCAGAATTTCCGTGTGATGTTTTCTATAGCATCTTAGCACTTAGAATGGCCAGAGGTAAAATGTCTGGCCTTGAGATTTCTACAGAAAAAGAATAGGTGTGCCTCTTGTGCTCATGAAAAATAGAATATGTGGGGTAACACGAGGGCGAGCAAGCAAACAGGTGAGAAGGGCTCACTCCACTTCCTGGAAGGGAAGAAGAATGAGGCTTATCTTGTTGGCTGCAGAGATAGCATTATGTTTTGGAAGGTTTTCTGCCTAACGTTAGTACTTGCGAATGGTGATGCCTTGACAATCTGAAATGATGTCATAATCCGTAGTAGTAGTTGTCATCACATTGGTGCATATCAAGTTTCGCTCGGCGATCGATTTGCTAGAATGCCCTGCCTTTCTTGCCCTGCAGACCCCAACTGCCAGCCCTCCTAGGCTCCAGTAGGCCCTGCCTGTTGGCTTCACACAGAGGGAAGGCAGGCCTTGGTCCCCGCTCCCAGATGGCTGATCTGACTCTTTGAACTAGCAGGTTCGTGGGCAGAGGGTAGCAATGACAGAAAGGAATGAAGACCTGACATCAAATTAATTGCGAACCTTTGTGTGGACTAACTCTACCAACCATGGGGCTTAATTTCTGGTTATTTGAACTCAGGGGGAAGGTCCCTCGTGAAGGTTGTTTGCAGTGGGCAAGAGCTGTTTATCCTTCTGTGAATTGCGTACAGTCCCGGATCCCAAGCTGAGATTATCAGTAGTGAAAAGCTCTCTTCAAACTGCGTGACTTACCTTGAGCAAGATTCCAGAAGGATAAAGCCAGATGCAAGCAATACTGGGGAAATATTTTACCTGGAGTTCCCATTGGAAGCAGAGACTTGGAAACTCCAGGAATGACCCTTGCAAGGTCTTTGAAAGCAGCAAAGTCTGTGAACTTAATGGAGCCCCTATTCCTCCATCTGTAAAATGATGTATCTGTAGACGGTAGGCTGGGTTGACGCTGCATCGCTCAGTGCCTAGGTAGACTTGCAGCAAAAGGTTTGTTGAATCTGAGTCTGAAATCCGTGAGACTCAAACTTTATTTAGGTAGGGCGAAAAGAAGACTTTTTTTTAAAAAAACGGGAGATGCAAAATGTGACGATCAGGAAAATAAATTTTTAATGGCTGAGGAAAAAGAGCTAAATCAGAGCTTTGTAGACAGGGAAAATGGTTTTCCATTTCAACTAACAATATAAAATACTTAAAAAATAGTTTCTGTTGGACTCTAAACAATTCTGGCTGATTTCCCATGGCGATGTCTTCCTCCCTGGTTGATCCTTTTTGTAGCCCCTTAAATGTTATAGGATAAGTTCGCTGGAGATGGAAGACAGGGGAGAAAAATATCTGAAGACTGATTATTTTAGAAAGCACGTTACCTTGGTACATTATGTGAGATCGTATTTGAATTTGCATTTTACTTCTGAATGCAGTTTGTATGAGGAAAGTTAGAAGCAGCGTTTCCCAGATATCTTTAGCAGGAAGAGCTTTGTTCAGAGCTCTGCGGAAGGCCTCCCACTCTGCTGTTTAATTCTGACCTGCGGGTAACATGGGATGATTGAAATGTTGGTAAACAGCGGCCAGTGGGTTCTGGGTGCATACGGATGGCATTGCAAGCAGGGACACGGCCCGCCTGCCGGGCCGAATGGGAGCGGACCATGCTCCCCCTACTTGAATTTTTAGGCACATTGTAAACAGCCAAAGAAATTGAGGTGGGAATCCCTCTGGCTTTGCGCGGGGTGGCCCTTCACACCCAAGAACCTCAGCCCTGACCTCCGCTAGCAGCTATCACATGCTTCGTTCTCATGAGCAGGAGAACCTTTACTGGAGGAAAAAAAAAAAAAAAAAGAAAAAGCAATTCAGAGAGCTTGGCCCGATGATGGTGGTTCTGTTGCATTAACCTCATAGGCCAGGAATGGCTCATATGTGGCCCTTGGGATTTTCAGGA